GGGGGGGGGACATTAATAGTATTCGAGAGACTGTCTGAAACATTGCTAAAAATGCTGACAGGAAGTGTTCTGCGGGTGTGGGGTTGGTTTAATTGGTGGCTGACAAGTGCTAATTTAACTGGCAAAGGATTCATTTCCATTTAGTGCCTGAAGTTAGTTTGGCTGAAAGATTTAACTCAGCAGGTGCATGGGCTTGTGTTCATGTAATTCAGCCGTGTAATTGGCACACTGCAGTGTCCTTCTCCGCAATATGTTTTGTGCTGTAACTACCAAGATTGGGATTCTCACAGAATGGCCATTTTATTGGTGGTCTAGTTAAGATTTTTCATCAGCAAAAACAGAATGCAAGAACACTGCCAACTCACCTCCACCCAAATTAAGTTTAACTGTCGGAGCAAATGTGGGATTATCAGCACAAATCAAAACTAAATCAATGAGTGTTCTTAAGACAAAATTGTAGAAGACATGTTGCTCCGCATTCATTTTAACGCTAGATAAGGAATTGATAGAAGGGCAGATGGATGGTAGGAGAAAATATTCAGTATTCTGCATCTACCACAAACACACAGCAAAGTAAACTGAACACTGAGAGGCTGTGGCTTACTCTGGCTGTTTGCTCTGAATACTCACAGAACAAAAACACTTTCCACCTTTACTGCCCCAAGTGGCAACAAGAGTTCACACTTCTTTTTTTAGTGTCTTGCAAATTCACTTCACAAGTTGGCATAAGAAGCAGATTGGATAACAAACGGTTCTCACATCAGAGCTATTGTCTCTTTTTATAATCCTTTAAATTAGTTGGGAGCATATCATTATTTTTAGCCAGTACTGACCGACAGTGTAATAAGACAGTGACAACATCGATTTCGCTGTGGTGTTGTATAATGTGATAATTCCGAGCCAGTATCTCTGGCCAACAATTATTTATGAGTGAAAAAGAAACATAAATCTGAAAGACCAGAGTGAATTTTATGTTTTGTGGTTCAGTGAGACAGACTCTTCTGTAGAGGAATGATGTAGCTGTTACTGTCATGAAAATTTCAGGAGTGCAAAAGTCTTGAACATAGACTGTAAAGCTGCTCTCAGACATGCACTGAACTCTGGAGATCCTCCACAGTTTCTCTGGTGGAGGTGTGTGTGTGTGTGAATGCAAATGCCCAAGTGAGAGACACGGGTCAAACCAACAACTTGAAGCACACGTCAAATTAATTTTTCTGCTAGATTAAGTTTGAGGACTTTAAAATCTTTTGTACTTGTGGATTATTTCTCAACATCTCACAGATAAACATCTCAATAGGTTTACTACAAACGTAAAGCAAGCATCTGTAAAATGAGCTTCACTTGTGGCAGCTGTTTTCCAAATCATATGAAATCTTTTTCTGCTGCTCGTGACATCTTTAGTATGTAGCTACAAATTGTGCACATTGGTTTGGTTGTTTTCAGTCAGCAAACAATAGATGAAAGGTGTTTGAGTTTTAAGGATGATGGAAACTAGGCCAAGTAGCACAGGATGCTGAAGGACTTGATTCAACAAGTGAATGAAATTCTGGACCTGTAACACCACATTATGTAATAAAACTTACAAGTGTAATACATTTCTGTGTGTTGCAGCTTCAGTTTGTTATTGGTGGATTACATCAAATCCACTGAGAGTCGAATTTCAAAATGTCAGATTCTGGCAGGTCCCATTGGGGCCAGACACTGTGTTTCTGACCCGGGGACAGAGCTGTCTCTGCCACAGACAGAAATGAATGATCTGAAAACACACTTTTTGTCTTGGGTTGTCCCTTTTGGTTTATTTTTACAAGTAGTTCTATTAAACTTAATCTGTACGATGCTATAAACACCTCACGTTAAAAATCATCCTGAGTGCAGAACAAAAACTTTCCTGAGAAATGTTTTTCTCCTTCAAACTAAGATTCACTTGTGACTTCCTTTTGCTCAAACTGCATCGTGAGTCTGCAGGATGAGCAGGGAGTGAATAGAGAAGTTCAAACAACTGTGGCAAACAGCAGTGCGCTTTCTAACATTAGATCTGTATTCAGTCTCGTCCCTCTGATGTAAAGCATCACACACTGCAACGCTGCGTGCAGTCTATTTACGTCACCTTCCAGGATTTGTGTTTACAAATCCAAAAAGACACAGTTTAAAATGTTACCTCTCGTCGCCATTCAGGTGCCGCACATGTACAAAAGTTAACGCTGAAGCTTAGCTTGCATGGCACACACTGTTCATCACTCGGAGATTTGCTCCAAAGTGAAAAACTGTATTCCCCACTGTGTCCTGGGCTTTGTAGTAGCCTGCATTGTTTACTCTTTGAATCCTCAAGGTGTTTCCAGTCCGTTTGAATGCATTTTGGATACAGAGCAATGGAGGTCAGTATAGCTGGGGGTTTGGGGTTTATGTTGTGCTGTTTTCCCAAAAGAGGTGCAGAAGAAAGTGTGAAGGGGGGGTGTGGGGGGTCACTGCTTTAGACAGCCTGCAGAAAGACTGGAAACTCAGGAAACTTGTTTCTCCGGCTGAGTTCAAAGGTGTGCGAGAGGAATCCACTGGGAAATGCTGATGCTTTGAACAGGTTGTTGTTGTCTCTTTGGATCATACACCTCCACTCACACTTACCTCCCTCTATGGTCGAGTTACACTACTGGGAAATGTGGTAAATAATACCATTTGACACGTCTGTTAGCGTGAATATGACATGTATATAATATTATATGTAATCATGAGACACATAATGATCACTGTTTGGAATCTCTGTTTTTCAATTTGATGTTAGGTTCACAATAAATAAGGCTAAGTAAATAAAACAGTAAAACAGATGTTTACCTGGACTCTGCCGTGAAGCATCTGTTGTTACCAGAGCTGGTCTTTGTCCGCAGAAATCTTTCCCGTCATCCATTTCACAAGAGACAACAAAAAACACAAAAAGATATATTTAGCTTTTATACTTACACGTCTTATTAAGACCTGGTAATTACCTTAATCTATTTTCAGACGTTTCCGACATTCAGGCTTGTCTAAGAAGCCTCGGCTGCTAAAAGAAAGAATTATATATAAATGATTTTGAGGTCCCGACAAGTCCCTGAATCAATAGCCCCAGGCTCCAGGCTCCCGGCTCCAGGCAGGTGTGGTGCGGGCATCTTAAATAATTAAGTACATGGAGAGAGGCAGAACTGAAGTCCACGGGTCGTCATAACAGAGTGAAGGATATGGGCATCATGTTACAATGTTAAAAGCACGTAATTGGCCAGTTTGGGGGCTCAAAGGGGCCTGAAAGTGCGAAGGAGACATGGCAGCCCATTGATTACAAGCCCCCTTGGGGGTCCAAGCAGCGCCTGCAAACATTAGCTGTTTTTAGGTAAAAGCAAAGCAGACGACTGTAACAAAAGACAAGGCCTCTTGACTTTGAAGAGTTGCCGTGTTTAAGGTCAGTTTCAACAGGTTTGAATAGAATACAATGAAAGCGACAGGGTTGCCTTTTAAATGTACCTTAGTAGTTTTGATCTTGTTCCCTGTAGCACAGCTCCAGCCCTTCAGATCAGGAAGAACTTTGCATTCCTCCCCGTCGAGGCACGGATGCATCTGGCACCACCACTTCTGCTCCACTATTGAGGCTAACAAACACACGCTGGGGTTAGAAATGTATTTTTTCCAGTTGTCTGTAGGCCATCAGGCCAGTGCTCATTTCATCAAATATTGAAATGTATTCCGATAGATGTAACAAATAAAACATAAAATAACGTGAAAGCCAAACTAATCATCACTAATCAACATACACAGCCTTAAGACCTGATCCTACACTTTAATTTATCTCTAACACTGCATCTCTGCTAGCAAAGCCACAGTGTTTCCCATTTATTTTCTACACTGTGGCGACCCGCCGTATTCTCATTTGTTCCACCACAGTTTCCTAATGAACCAAAAACATTTTTTATCACTTTTCATAAGAACATAAAACATCTCCAACTTGGTGTGTACAGGGCTATTTGCTGCATGCTCACATGTACTGTATGCATTACCACCCTCCATAATGTTGTTACCCTCCATGCAGACAGTCAGACCTCTTTCAGCTGCAGTTGTGGCATGAAACGCAATTCTGTCTCACAGAAGAACATATCTTTCACTCTTTAGTATGTATACCTGTCACTCAGAATCTCCTGCACACAAGAGGGACCTTTGTGCATTTGCACGTTACCACCATAGATTGAATTAATTCTGTGGGAAAATCTTTATTTAGGACATATTTTGGGACTTGTTGCAAGCATACCTCCATTATATGATGAGCTGGTGTGTCACATTCTCAAGATTTTAGAGCCTTGTCACACACATCCATGTTTTTAAGACTGAAACTGAAGAAGCATGGTTTGTTGGGAACATACATGTTGTATCCCGCTATACATGACTCTCAACATGTGATGGGAAAACCATCCAGTGCAGCTTCCATAAAAGAGAGCATTAAGCTTCTGCTACTCCATTGTGCGAGACATCATTTAAATGTTGGATATTACAGAGGTCATTATCTACATTCCACACACCCTCCACCACCATTACTGCTCTTCCTAATGAAGAGAAAGGTTATTATAATCCACATATAACACCGGAGCTTCGCAGGGTAAATTGCACAGAATGGATACTTTATGATACAAGGGAATCAATTTGTATCACACAGCTACGGTTATAGCTGCAGCGTGGTGTAAAAACTGCATCAGGTCAACTGCAAGCAGATGGTGGTTGTGGAACAGCGGCTATTAAGAAGCCACAAAGGTTCCTAGTGAAATGAAATGGGCGTATTGATGACCAAACATACATAAAGTGCATGGGACACATTTCACTTAACAGTTAATGATGCTTTAAAAACATGATCTGGAAAACATCTGGGAGCAAAAAAATCGATTTATACTTTAATTTCATTTCATTTATTGTGGCTGTAAATCTCTGCTTTGACCTTGATGGATAATCAGGCATGTATTTTGCATGTTCATGTAGTAAATGACTTGTAACTTAGTTCTAATGCTTTGAGAACATGAGGAGCTGAGCGATAATCATTTTTTTATGTTTAGAAATATCTCGACATTTATCCTCTGAGGAAACACTGGAATGCTTCAATTACATTCATGTGGCAGTATTGGAGATCACAGTATGGGTGTTGGGAAAGTGGCCAAAGCACGTTGTTCCGGCACAAGTGTGACATTAGCTTCCTGAAAAGCTACAGCAGATTGTCACTTGTAATTTAGCTGTTTATGAAGCACACAGTTTTCCAAACCAAGTTACTCATCAGTGATGTTAGATTTTGAGGCAGATGCAAACAGTTGAGCGTTTTAAAATACATCTGATGGTTTTTTTGCCTAATAATGCATGGAGCAATGCAACTTGTTGAAAAACTTATCTTGTTTGATTCATTTACTGTAAATTGTAATTAATGTATTTATTCCCAAGCCTTTTACTTCTGCCCTTGTCTTCTGGCAGATTTTTCTGTATCAAGGAATGATATGATTTATTTTCTGTTTCTATTGTTAGAGTTAAAATAAATATTGGAATTAATCTAAATCCAAATCTGAGGTAATATACAGTTCTTTTTAGCTTAAATATTATTTGTAATCGATTATTCTATATTATTTTAAATATTCAATGGGACTTTATATGATGTATGAAATATATATTGTATCATTTATCCAGCCAGATGCTTTTATCAGTTATTGTTAGAATTATACATATTGAAAACTGAGTTTAAAAAGTATGATTTCTTGTTACAGATTCAAACAAAAGTCAAATTAGATCCACCTCAACTAATTTGTACGGTAAAATGCTACATACACATTAATGCATCAGATAAAATAATTAACTGTCATGTAATTGTATATATATAATATAATAACCTTAGTATAATACTTAGGGGGAGGAGTTTTTCTTAAAATACTTGCAGTGCATTTTGAATTCAAATTAAAATACTATAGATGCAGGTTGTTATATACGTGTGCTTCTTCTGCCTACACTTCTCTGAATAGTTCATCCTCCTCTGCTGAGTGCACGCTGCAGTCATCATTCCATCCGCTGGACTTCACCCGTAAACTGCTGCTTCTACAGTCCAGCGGATGGATTTAATGCTGATCTTAAATTGAGCGCAGAAGCAAAGTGGGACATTTCTATTTGTTCCCAGTTAGTGATTCTGCGAGGGTGGAAAGCGCTGCTCTATCTCCAGGAAAACAGAGGCTTTGCTGACACACAGCACTTTTTCCTCTCATGATGAAGTAGTTATGTGATGTAATCTGCAGTTTCTCTTCCATGATCTGAGAGCATAACAACTCAGTTTTAAACCCTTGAAGTTCCCTTTGTATTTATCCCAGCGTTTCTGGCTGATCCGCACCGACGCAAATGTGCATTTATCTCAAGAAGTCACCATATGTTTCACTTTCAGTGAAATGTGCATGTATTTTCTGGCTCCCTCTTTTGAATTACACATTCAAATCTATTCAACTTTTCTCAGATGTCTGGAGGCTCATTTATCTTCATGTAAAGGAAGAGGTTGTCTCACACAGTTGAGTTGAGCCAAAGGTAAATCCCTGGCTGGAGAAGAAAGAATAATTGAAAGGTTAAGTGCTGATCATTTTTCTCTGAGATCACCCACAGAGCTTTAAACTGAGGCCAATGGCTCACAGCTCTAATTTGCAGAAAATGTCAATAGCAAAATGTCAAGTAATAGGTCAAACATGATTGGGTCCAGAGTTCAGCCGAAATGCGCTTTTCAGACCAAAGTGAAGCAGCCACTTCAGCCAAGTTGGGGGTCTGACCCATTAGTATGCTAAGAGACCCTCTCAAAAAGTCATTGACTTAACAGTCTTCAGTTAGCAGCTTCTCATTCATTCATAGGCGAGTAAAAGAAAAACAATTTGTAAGGGCCCAGGATTCACCAGACTCTGTTCACTGGGTGCATTTAGGCAAATATGGCAAGGATACAGATGCAGTTCATGTCCTCAGTAAATTAGACAGCTCTAAAAATTGAAGTACAAAAAGTACTGCTACTAGAACTTTTTTTCACCTTTTGAGTATTTATGTTCCAACCATGGTTGGGTGCTGAGATCAGGTACCAATCAGGCATCGGTTCCTGCAGGGCCTTTACCTAACGCACCCTAACACAATGTAGATTTCACTGCCTGAGCACTGTACTGAAATAGTTGTCCTGCTTACAGCCAAGATCAACATAACCACGTGTGCCTATAGTTAACACTACACTTAACTTTGGTGGCTTGTTCTGTATGTTACCTAAAAGTCAAACTACTCACCACTGCTTATAAAGCTTAAACAAGCACATGATGATAACTGAGGGTGACTTAGACGAGCACTTACGCACATTAAAACTGCATAAGTGATTGAATAATGATGAAAGTGTATACTTGCTTTTTAGGTTTATAATTCATTCAGACTAATAAGGCTACAAGTGCACAGGGAGATAACAAGTGTTTTGTTCCCCAACAACCAATCGATTGGGTGAAAAGAAGGTACAATTTCATTCACACCCTTGGTTTGACGTCTGACTGAGTACTGTATTTAATATTTGTCTATTTTCTTTGTGTCACATATTGTATACCTTTTACTCACCTTCGTAGACAACTATGTATTTTTTGTAGTCCACACAGGAAACAAAAATATAGTACCCATGTATCATCTTGTGTCAGAGATAAACAAACATTTTGAACTTGGACTAATCATTGGAAAGTGTATACATCCAGACCACTCTGGTTCTGTGCGTACATTTTTCTTCTCTTGAATTGTTTATTGCACCTCCAGTACCTGGCAGAGCCTTTAAGCCTGGTGAGCGGAGATTGCTGTAATCCTTCTGACATTTTATAGACTAAACAATTTATTGAGAAAATAATTAAAAACCCAGTCCGCATGGAGATTTAAAGTAAATGTCTATATTTAATTCATAAATTTAGATCCCGATATGTAGTTATCACAACTCATATTGCATAAAAAGGTCTGTGCGCGTAATATAAGTAATAAAAAGATTTATTCATGTGTAATTCAACTGAAAGAAACTACTTATATAACTTCAAACAATACTTTCTTTTTTCATGCAGTGATAATCTGATTGCACGACAAACTCTGCTCTCATTTTATGTCGTCTCCTGACAGCATCTCTTAGAAATATGACTTAAGTGGGTGTACTGGAATACTTATATGATGATCTCAGCAAAACTAATGCCCAAGATTTGTGGAAAGGAGTCTCAGCAAAAAAAAAAAAAAGAGAGAGGATAGCCCATGAAATATTCAGCTGCTGGAGCGTACCATCTACACACGACGGGGCGGCTCTGGTGGTGCCGGCCACTTGCCCAGGAAAGCAGGAGCACTTCACAGTTTGCGACCGCTCCTCGATTTTGTTCTTGTTGCAGCAGCGGTGCAAAGCCACCACCTCGCAGGTGCCCGTTCGGACATGGTGCGCTGCTGGAGAAATGACAGGGAAAATGGAATAATCAGCAGTGGTGTAATAGTTATTGCCTTCATCTCCACACCCACTCGGCTGGCCTTGGATTGAGTCCCATAAGAATTTCTCTCTTGGGTCTCTATTGCGTGCTCCACTCCATCCCTCTCAATAATGAAAAGTTACCAAGGAGAGCAGACTAGCGAGGGTTCCTTTTATCACAGGGTTCAGATTTCCCATCTTTATATGCATATATTCTTTTTAAATTATCATTTGCCTGAGTGGCCTAACATTTTTTAAGCCACTCATTTTAATTTTAGGCTGAATTCAGGTCTTCATTGTCTTTAGATGTGACCATTTTAATGTGAGAAATTAAAATGGGTATTTCAGCAAATTCATTTTCTGCTTATATTAAATTTGGCGGAATCACAAGAGACAGATTAAAGAGAGATAATGGTCAAATTAGAGGCAGCAGAGGCCGAGATAATCTGAGTTTTAATTTGTAGTCAAAAAGTGCTGTATCCTACATTTCCCACGATACAACAGAAATTATGAGTTGCTTCTACTAAATATAAGTGACTCATGACATTATAAGTACAATTAAGGACATTAGTTTTGTCCCTTATTTCTGTATTTGAAATGAAAAATGTTCCTTTGATATAAATACCTCAAGTGTGAGATGTCAGCGGTAGGAACAGATATCGATCCAAATTTACCACGACGAGTAGAAGCACTTTTAAAAAAGAAAGTCCAATATTTGAAGGGGAAAGTGCAGCACTGCAGTTTTTAGAAACGGTTTCCAGATCACGCTTCGATGTCTGAATTATTTAGAGCCGGAGCTGCTCCATTCTCTTTTAATTGCATGTGACATTTTCATGAGTTGTCCTTCTGTAGAGATGCTCTCTGCCGCTGAAGTAAACAATAAATCTGAAATGACTGTGAAACTGCTCCATACTGGAGCGGCTCAGCTAAACCCACTTAATTACATTTTTACCTTATATTAGTGCATAGCAACTGTTTCCAGCTACTGGAAAAAGCATCTGCTGAGACTAGCTGTGGTAGATTCAGTTGGTCTGATGAGACAGATTAATTAATTTGTCTATGAGCAAGGATTGGGATTTACTTGTTTTTTTTCTTGTATAGCTGGAAACATGAAATGTGCATTAAAATTAGCTGAGAATCTAATATTCCTCACACCACCTGTTTTTCTCGCATTGGATTACCAGTTGTCTGTGTAGCAATTGTTTTGTAGAGTAATACCTTAACCTTTTTGACAACTCAAAACACCCCTGGCACACACACATTCATACAGCACACATTCACATATCATTCACACAATTTATGGCAAATTGATAGTTGCTGGATCTGCCAGTCCACTCACATCCACCCATGTCGGCTAGGGAACGCATGGACCCCTATGTCTACATCCACATGCAGGCCATAATGTTTGTCCGCTAACTGTTCACGCTCCAAGTACAACATAACCAACTACTGGAATGGAATAGAATGTGGGAATAGGTACACATGCGTGGAATGCCAGACCAATGCGGACCACCATTTTAGTATAAATGGAACCATGGGCTTGTACGTCTGATCAAAACGAGCATGCAACTCTCAGCAAGATGCAGTAAATTATTCTCAACTCTTCGGATTCAGTGTCCTGGACAATTCAGCATGCGGATTGAAGCAGTCAGGGATCAAACCATCGACCATCGGGTGCATGGTGTACAACTGCCCAGCTAGAATATAGTTGCTGGTTGAATATACAGCTTCGACAGTTTATTATTTAATAAAGAGTTAAAACTAATACAGACTATTATATTTTATTGCATTGCACCAGAGAGGAGGTTCTGTTAATATTATAAAAAGGGTGGACAAAATAATAGTGACTGTTATACTGCAGTGCAGTTCAACAGCACCACAAACTGCAGCCTCCAAAACGCCTGAATAAACACAAACTCAACATTATACCCTTAATGAAGGGACAAGATATTGCAGGACTGCTTAATCTGCATTATTCTAAGTTAAGTGTTCCTAATAAAGTGCTAACTAAGTGTGATTGAATAGTAGGTAAAAAGAACAAAAATATAAAAGACAGAGCCATTGTGATTATACATTCAACTGTTGATTGCATGTTTGCTCCAACAGTCCCGCCACCCCCCCATCCTCCATACATCAAAAATAATGCAGGTAGTCGCCCAAAAGTAGCGGGATGCTCACTCAAGCGCTGCCAAAACAAGAATAGATATGAAAGACAAACATGCAGCCAGCTGAGCTGCTTTATATGTTTGTAAGAGGAGTGCTGCCAGTGTGTAGCACGTCTCTAGGACACGCTTCACACTGAGAGGCTGCAGTGTTTCTGACTGGATTCAGAGTTGTACTCACCGACTCCTGCTTCCCCCCGCCAGCAAGATACAGAGGAGAACATTTCACTCAGGAATCAGTGTACTGCAAACCCACGGTCCAGCTTTAATCACGCTGCGCTGCCGCTGTGACACAGAGGATCCCTTCGGCTCTCGACAGGCTGCTGCTGCTGGGGCTCTGTTCTCCAGAGTCTTTCAAAGTTTTCTAAGACGGGGGTGCCATGGGATTTAAATATCAGGATGCAGGGGTGTCCTGGTGGAATAGCGGTTAACATGCATGTCGCTGAAAGTAACTGCAGTGTCCCTGGTTTGATTCTTGCTTGGGACCCTTGTTGAATGTCTTACTCTTCCAATCTTTCTGTCACTATCACTTGATTAAATAAAATCATTAGCAACGAGAGAATATGTGAGACGTTTACATGAGTATTAGCTCAGATTAAAAAGTCCAGCAGACCAATTAAAATATCTCTTCTTTTTAAATGTTGAATGTGTATTTTGACTTTTTAGTTTTGCTCATTCCTCATAAACTAACATAGATGGGGGGGTTATGACCTGTACTACAGCCAGCCACCAGGTGGCGATCAAGACGCGTTCACCTTTGGGGAGCTGTCATCCATTAGGCATGTTATGTTGTTTTTCCTGTCGCTAAAAGGTAAACTGTAAACAGTGACATCCAAACATCAAGAAAACAGAAGAAAAACTATTAATATCTTTGCTTCAATGATCAGATTTCATGTGAGAGTAGACAGGTGCCATGTGTGCTTGCAGCACTTCTAATAGTTAATTACACGTTTCGAGGTTGACACTATTCCCCAGAATCCCCTCAACACAGGTGTCACAGTGGAAAGATCTAATAAATCGGTTGGGAAGAAATTCATCAACAAATTGTGTTGCATCAGACGTGTGAGCTTTCAAAACCCACATCAAGTGAGTCAATCATCAATTGTGTTTCCAACAATAGAAACCTTCCTGAAAATATCAACTACAGTTTATCAGGGCACAGTGCTGTGCCACAACACATTTTTTATAGTAAGATATTGTAAAGATAGCAGAGTAAAGGTCTGAAATGAACATTCTGTCAAAGGATAAGAGACATTTTGGTCTTCCCTTTTATAAATTATCCTCCTCTCCCATTTCATCCTCCTCTTCTTGCTCGAGGGCAATCTTATCTCGAAGTTTGGAAAAAGAAAACTTTCACTTTATTGCTCATTTGTGTCATTTTCCGAGCACGACTAGGTGTTACATAATCCAAATGTAGTCAAATGAATAGCAGGGATATTTCCCATTAAACTGATCCGTATACTTTCTACTACTACTTTTAAGTTCTGTTAAAAACACCTTCAGTTGCGTAAATTTGTGATTGAGGCGGTTGGGTTGTCTTGAACTGTGTGAAAAATTCAGATTGAAGTATTTATGTAAATGCCTGAGTACTAGCTGGAGCAGCAGTTATCACCACCAGCCTCATGGAGGAAGACGGTGCGGGTTATACAGAGTCCAGTCCTTCGGCTGCGAGTGGAGTCAAAGCAGAACACCACCCCCACCCTTAATGCCAAGAAATCAGAATACACTCATATCGGCCGAACATTGACTGTGTATAAAAATGGAAAGTGAAGGCAATGCAGAAGTACCTATAGTACCTATAGTACCTATAACACCTATAACCTATAACCTGTATTGTCTCAGATTCGTTCCTGAGCACACTGTCAGACAAGGTTGAACACTTGATGCTGTGCCGCTCGTCTGTGGAGCCTATTCAGCTGCTGCTAACAGGTGAACCCATAGATTTGTTATCAGACAGTTTGACAGTTGTAAGTACAAAGACAACAAACAGCCTCACCTGATCCTTACTTTGCCATCTACTGTGTAGAACCCAGAATACTTCAGCACATCACTTCTCAGGTGCTCTGGTGTCATGATTGTCTGCTCAGGACGGCTTTGCTTGCTGGCGTCGTCCACTTTCATATCAAAATGATGCAACATTACTGACTTAATTTCCTGCCAGGTCAAGAGGGCATGCAACAGGTCAAACAAATAGTGATCGCCCTCTGCAGGATCAGGACAGAAAACACTTTATATGGTCTGATGTGTTGTTAAATTATATATTTGAATTTGAATGGATCATTACATTTCAAATACGAACGTTCTCCCCCACGTTCCAAAGTCTTATATATAACATTAAAGTTGGGTTGAACCCTCAAAGCAGCTTGGGATCAAATCTTGACTTGCTGCTTCGACCCAACTCCAACATAAACTGCCAACACTGACTGTATTGGGTTTTAACCAGGCACTTGTTTATTTTAGCGAATCTTTTGAACCAGCCTTGCTTTCAGTGAGAAGAGATTGGCTATTTCTGTCGGTGCAGCGCTAAATTGCTCTGCTTGAGAGGCTTAATGGTTTAGTCTCTGGAGACAGAGGAAACTGCAAATAATGCATCATTTGTATCATTCATGAGGCTGTTGTGAATGATAATGTAATCATTGCTTTGCTTCATAAACAGCATAGTGTGCAGCCAAAACTCCCGCCTCTCAGATTGAGAAATGATCCCTCTGTACAAACCTACATAATGACACGCAGAACTGTTGTGGTAACATTGACGAACAGATTGTCCCGTTTCTGTTACTTAGTAGGTGGCGCTTTGAAGAGTGAAACATGAGGAACTGCTTTACTGCAAACTGTCAGATTCAAGGAGGCACTCTCAATGCAACTGAGCATGAGGAGTTATTGTTTTTTCTTCACTGGGACCTGTAGAGGCGCTGACTCTTAGTACCTGCTCTCTCAAGGCTGAACGCAGAGTTTTCCTTCCTGGGCAAGATGTGTTTTTATGCAACACGTATGTCATTTTTATCACAAAGTGCAGAAAGTCTGAGGAGCTGAGTAAGCTACATTCTTTGATGCATACTGTAACACAGGATGTTCTGTTAGTTAGACATCAAGTTCATACACGTTATTCCAACATTTACAACATGGAGGAAAGCGCCATCAAACATATTTTATTCCACTCAGGTTAAGTTCCCCCATAGCAACATGTGTGCATAGACACTTGCCAAGTGTTTTCCCATTGTGGACACTGTAATTCAAGGCTATAATGTGTCTGCTGGGATGGTGCTAATACAATTTGAAGGTCAAAATGTAAATACTCTGCACCCACTCTGCCAACCATCAAATATAAAGGGACTGTGTTCTGATGTCGTACATTATGAAAGTGCCACAGAGATTTGTCCAAAGCCTGTTATTATTTTCTCATGATGTAAAGTTGTTTCAATTAATAAGATTTTCACATAACTGACTCATTCTGCGGTTCAAGGTTTATTGGAGAAATAACACAAAACAGTAAGAAAACGAAGTAAAAATCCCATTAATTTTCTGAATAGATATTTTAATTTACAGCCATAATATTTTTACCATCCATCCTCTTTTCATAAGGATTTTCTGAATCATCAATGTGGGAAACTAATGGGGAATTTGCCCCAGAAACCAGAGCCATTCTAAAAGTGGGTGGTCACTGTGACTCTGTTAGTTGTCTGATTAATATTTTATGAGGTAATAAAGTTCAAATTCATTATTTACTCAAATTACTAGCAAATCCTGTCAACATCCCCTGCATTTTAAAGGCCTTAATTATGCACAAAGTCTAATACCCCAGAACACTAAAGTTTAATTAGAGTAATTTGCAACATGATACTCAAAACACTACACGCAAACTGGGGTGGAGGGATTATATGATGAGCCTCCAACCAAGTAACACTGAACAGGAGCATATTCACTCTTTTACATTTGGACTGAGGTGTCTCTCACTGGAAATTAAACACACACACACACACACACACACACACACACACACACACACTTTTTCATACATACATATAAATGTTCTTATGTAGTGACGTCCCAAACTGTTGACGCAACGCAACAATTGGTCCTGCAAGGTCCAACACAATTTGAAACAGTAGGCGGCGCTTTGAGCCATTTTATTTTAATATACGTTTGATAATAAATATGAGATTAAAACCAATATTAATGGATTTCATCAAAGAAAGGTCATGTATTATCATTATCTCTTTAGAAAGTCTGAATCTAATAAAACGGTAGGCACTTATTAAACTGAATTGGATGTGCTCACAGCTTGTGAGCCCAGTCAGCCCGGGAGTGAATCTGTCTCTCTCTTCTATCCACTCTACCTCCTTCCTGGTCAATAAAGGACAAGCACAAAGGTGAACAGGATGACCACCGGCACTCATTAATTTTGTATTGTAAACATCCACCGCAGGACAGACTCTTCAGTGGCTGCATGGCTGTCTGACGAGAGAGAGCAAAGGCAAATCTTCTGTCTTCATAAATCAGAGTGCAAAATAAACTGACTTTACATAGCTGTCAGAGAAGATGACGGTTCGATGGTGCAAACACGATGTCGTCTTTGCTGACACAATCCGCCTATATACGGTGGTCAAAGCTCATGTCCGTTACTAAAGCAACTCGTCTCCATGCGAAACAAATGCTCCTTGCTGGTCTTTGTTTTCCTCTCGGTCGTCTTCTTGTGTGGAAGAAATAAAGTTTCTCTGTTTTCAAAGTGTTCAGGGTTGATTTCACCCCTTGAATGATAACAGGTTTACAGCAACAGAAATATCACCAAGGGGAAAATAGGGGGTTGCGACGGCTATCGTAGACAAATCAAATGCAAACCAGATTATTCTGATCCACTTCCTGCTGAAATGATGAGGGCCTTGAGCGGGGATCGCTGCCAATCAAAGCAGTGCACATCAAAGCACCTTGCTCCCGTCTAATTGGTCGACAAAAGAGAAGAGAGGTGTGCAATCTTGATCATGCTCGCAGATGGACATCCTGTCTGAGAGCAGTGCTGCCTGTACACCACCAATTACCTGAGGCTGTGTATTGTCAATGGGACTCAGGCTGATGAAACGTGGGTTGGCATCTTCTTGTAATTTAGCTGAGTTGCCATAATTGATCTCCCTGGGTTTACTAGTGACCGTTGGATGACAATTTTAATGAGGTAGACGGGTTTGACTCATACCTCCAAAATAGCTGTTTCAATCCAATTATTCCCCCATTTACCACTGTGACATTTTATTTGTGATGCAGCATAGTGAGAAATTCCCTTCCAAGCACCTCACATGAGAAGTGGCAGCCACCGTGACGGCACTCCTCTCCTCTGTCCTGCATTTCTCCTCACATTGTTGCAGGAGGTCAGTGCTGCGTCAATGTGATTCATTCACTTGGACACAAGGATGATTTGATTCTAATTTGGAGGTCAAGGTCATTGTGACAAGACCCCTTTTTTTGCCTTGTGAACACATTATCTTAAGAATACCTCAGGTTTTAATCTGTCTCTTGTGAGTCCTTTAGCTTTATATATTGTAAGCGTGTGTGTGTGTGTGTGTGTGTGTGTGTGTGTGTGTGTGTGTGTGTGAGAGAGTCTCACAGTCTGGCTTTGGCTACTCAGACATAGACTCAGGATCAATTCATTTTCATGGAATGTATTGGTATAAATAATGAATACAACTTGATTATTTATAAAGTGTAACACTTTATATACTGTTGATTCAGTCAGAACTTCTGTGACTGTCACAACCAATGAGACGGGAGATGAACTGAGCCACACACACACAACAAGTGATTATTAGAATCAACACAGTCTGTGAGGTTGTATGCTAATAATGCTCATTGATGTAACAAGGTAGGAAAACAGCTGTGGAGCCTTCTGTAGTGGCGTCATGAACATATTCAGGTTCTGTCTCTGCAGTCGTCGACTCGCTCAGATTGCACGAAGACAGAAACAGGAGGTGACAGCTTTACCCCTGTGTGATGTCGCCTCACTGGAGTATTCATTTGTTCCATTAAGGAGCTTATTTTCACTGGAGTGAGTATAGAGATGTTTTGCACCTGATATCCAGCAGCTGTGGGGTTTTTTTCTGACATTCTCACCTGAAGCTCCTTCTGTTGGTACGGTCATCTCCCAGACACTGACCACGAGCACCATTACAAGTAGAGCCACTTTACTTCCGATGTGCGTGTATCGCTCACTCATCCTGTGAAAACAAAGAGGAGTGTTACCATGAAGCCAGCTGTAGTTTTAAGCTTTTTACAGCAACGTTAGACACTGGTTTATTTACATTCACAGCCAAGCATCTCTGTCAGTCTGCACATATTTTTCAGCAAGAGCCCTTTGGTTGGAGCTGGAGGCTTTATGGCACAGAACAGGAAGAGGGTGCTGTTCCACGAGCTCACGGTTAAACTTCACAATAGCTTAGCATGTCGAAATGCATATTTGCTCTCATCACACCACTGTTATCCTCCTCCTTGCTTTTCAAAACAGACTACAGCTGTGGGGTGAATATGCCCCAGCTCACTGTCTCCAAATCCTCCCCCCTCGCTCCTCAAACAGGAGCTTCTTGCAGCGGGGGCACGAACAGAAGGTGAAGACCCTCTGCTGCCCGGACAAGCTTCCCTAAGCCTCTCTAGGCTCTACAGCAGACTGGAAGAGAGTGAGCAGGCCAAGGTGGCTAATCCTTCCATCCGCAGCACCTTTTCCTCTGCACTCCCTCTTCCTAATGAAGTGTGGTGTAGCTGAGGCCACACTGCATAAACCATCTGGCACAGTGTGTTATCATTGACAGAAAAAGATCAAATTTCAATCGGGGATGCAGCAGCGGGTGGTAATTACTGGAAGAAGCGCGGTATCGTATGGCGTGAGCGTACAATGTTACAAGCTGCATTTACGCCTTATTTACCGCCTCCCACATCTTATCTGCCTGCCTCATTGACATATAGATTGGCTAAACCTCGTTGGGGTTCTCAGATTATTTGTGTAATTAAGTTTATTTTGGCAAAGCGAACATGACCTTTTTGTAGGGATTTTTTTTTTTTACCTGCCAGTGTCTCACAGGAATTCGAAGCAGTGTATCAGAGGCTCAGTGTGCCCTCTGAAAATATAAATGAGATGTTTTGTCATCATGACATGCAGGCGGGGAGCAGACTCTGGCTTCTGTCTCTCCAGCATAACATCACTTGTGAAGGTTTTTAAATGCCTTTGTTGATTGAGCCTTAACTTAACAGTTATTGATGCAATTTAGTGTTCGTCATCTTAAAGAAAAGCTCGACATTCAGTGAAATACACTCTGGCTTCTGCCTCCTTGAGGTTGCCATGAAACAGCTTTTACATTTAGACAGGAAACTGGGATTAGACTGATATGTTGGTCTGAAATCAACCTCTGACAATACATCTCATCACTTTTACACAACCACAGCACTTCAGTACAATGTGATGGTACTAGTACTATTGATATTTTACACTTCACTAAATGTCAGAGAAATGAACTTTCTACTGTACTACTTGTATTTGAACACAGGAGTTACATACTACTACTACTACTACTTCTACTACTAAATTAAATGCTTAAAACAAAAAATATAGCTCTAAATGTTTGCCTAACTCAACCTATGATGCACTATTGTAAATAAATTAATCTCCTCATCATTATATGAAAAAGTTGAAATTAGCTCCCTCTTCATTAGATGCAGCCTTATAATTTTAATAACGACACATTTGTATTTATAATGTATCAATGTCATAAATAATAGTTGTACATTATAATAAATAATATCATACCACTCAGCATTGTACTGCATTTTAGTTCATTTTGCCAATTCCTTGGTATTCAAGTGGTTGTCATTGGCCTCTAGAATATGCAGAGGCTAACAATTTAGCAACGTAGCAGATGGGTAATGCAGGGTAATAAAGAATAAGGCTATTGGGAACATTGTCTTCAGATGTATTATAAAATTGCAAGGACAAAACTCTATATGTCTAAAATTACAATACTTGTGATGCATACACAGACTAAAGGGTGAAGATAAATAATTTAATTGCATGACAAACTGAGTGTGACTGTCTGCTTGGATTATAAAAAACATTATGGACGTGTGACATGTCTCATGCTGTGAGCAGTGTGAAACAAAGTTAGGAAACAATTACAGGCTACCACAGTCTAGGTATTTATATATTCTTTGTTTTATTATCAATGTTAATTATAATTTAATACTTCCTGGGCATACTGAAAATATCTGAACTTCAGGTCATTTAACCTCTTTAAACACACCAAGTGCTTTTTCATCGTGTATATCCTGTGGATATACTACACAATGATGTAACCCTCCACAGAGGCCGAGACTGTTAGCCTCATGACACTTAGCACAGAGTTGAATGTAGCTGGAGACACATGGAAGGAAATTCACTCGAATTGAGAGTGTGATATTAACGTAATGGTGAGGTTTATGTATTTGCTCAAATGGAGCTCAAACTGCACACCCAGGTGCTTTGATTAGAGCGGCCGGTGCTAACGTTCACCTTCATGGTGACAGATTTATTGCCTCTGGTTGCCTCAAGAATTGGGCCCTGGACTGAAATGGTGGCCAGTCGACGTCGCTGTGCAATTCACGGCAATGATATGTGTGTGAAAATAGGGTCATTGGTGACAGCGCAGGGCAAAGCTCTACAGCATCATTTGTTGTGCGCTCTATAAGGGTGCAATTCTATAAATGACATCTCATTGTCCCTGAATGTGCTGTGTTGTCATTGGTTCGGCGGGGGCGCTTGGCAGAGCGAGTCGCTGAAGATTTGTTACAGTTTGAGGCCATTTTAGATCCTGACCTTGACTCTGAGGTCTTAAGCAACTTGGACAAAAATACTGCTGCATGAATGGTGTCATCTAAATCCACTTTTTACATCTTTACCTCTGTTATTGCTGAGATAACACAACAAGGGGATCCAGCCTGGATCCAGTTCATACAGGTTTATCTATCTGCTGCTTTAAAAACAGAATGGCAGCTCATTCCTGCAGTAGAAGAAGCGTTAACGTTTACATTGACACCTTCCAGAACTGTATGATTCAAATCCATGTTCTCATTTGTCACCTCTGAGATTGTTCAAGGTTTAACAAAAACAGAAATCAGAGAGGGCCGCTAACAGCAACTGCATTAGAAAATATAATCCTCTCAATCCTAATTTAAAACTGCATTAATTGGGAGTGCTTTGTGGTTAAGGTGAATTTGAGCATCTTTCAGGAAGATTACATCCCACTGTTTTTTACTGGTTCGGTTCAGTTTCACAGCTTCCACAAGCAGGAGGTTGTTTCCATTGTTAAAGGTCTGACAGAACAACTGTACACCACCTGCCTGGCAGACAAAGACATCAACTAGCTGATGTACCAGCCTCTAGCAGCTAAAGAGCTAGATATTTCCCCCCGCTGCCCAAGCTCCAAGGGGAATGAGTTGTTGGAGAAACACCACAGCCAATGAATGCTAATGTTGCTCCAAATCTGCTGGGTGTGTAATTAGGTAATTATCTGCTTACAAAATTGGCGTAATGACTTTATTGGGTGATTATATATCAGTGTTGTAAAAAAACAAACATTTAATGAATTGAATCAATAAATCAGTAAATACATTAATTTAATCAAGTCAGATGCATCAACCTTCAGCCACGTGCCTCAAAGCAATCAGCCGTTAGACTGCACTGTTTACTTCTGTTTACTTCCATAATGGACAATTAAGCAATCAAACCTCGATCCTCATACCTATAGGGCACATTTTAGAAAAAAATGTCCTTATGTAGTGTTATTTCTTTTTTTTTTATTCATAATATAATTTTACAATATTTTTCCTATTGCACTGCTACTGCTGTGTCATATGTGACTTTCCTCTACGGAGGATCAATGAAGGTTCATAAATCGTATCTTCTCATTTCTCTCAAATAAAAAATAAAAAGCGAATAAGCTTACAATCCGAAAATGTTGAATTATTCCTTTAAGTATGATGATAACCCTGATGATAATGATGATAACGCTAATTAAAATAAATGTCTTCATTATAATTACTATAATGAGTGCTGATTTAGTATCTATATATATCTATATATCTCTGTATATATAGATAGATATCATATTTTCTACATGTAGTGGAGCAAAGTCTCTGATGGTTTCGAGAGGAAACAAACTCAGTGGCTTTACCTTTTCCTTTCCACAGTTTATCATGTGTCGTACTTTCAAATGCAAATGAAGGCCTTTATCGAGGAATAATACATATTCTTTCCACAGGTGCCACCTCAGTAGTTCTCCTGGATTCGTCTGCTCAAATTTATCCAGTGATTAGACTTTTATCCCTTTGTTATGAGTCGGCTCTGTTGTGTGGTGTCTAAGCCTGCGGTGTAGATCATTGGATTTCCTTTCAAGAGTACAAAGTGAATTTGTTTAAAACTGAATGAAGCGAGAAATCCCCGTCTCTGACCAAAACTCTGATCGCCTCAGTCGTTAGGTCCTGCCCTCCCACTCCCTTTCCCTCTCTGTGAGACAAATTGAACGCTGGCGGACCAGTGAGCCCTGTTGTAAAAAGACTCCACTTGAGGATTGACCTTGGTGAGAGGACACACTAAAGCTGCTTTCAGACATGCACCTCCTCCGCATTTCCTCCGTATTTTCTCTGACGACAGATGCAAAAAAGCAAAAGAAAACAAATATCTCCCGGTGAAAAAGAGGTGACACATCTTGAAGCCAATGACATAGATGTCAAGAGAATAAGAGCTGACACCAGTGTCTGTGTTGTTAAGAAAATCACGTGATCTCTGCAGCGGAGTTAATACTGTCTGCCTGCACCCGGTTGCTCCACCTCTCGCCTGAATAATGCGGAGGATTTGTTGCCGTTGTGAACGCCTCCTCCGACTGTGTTGTGCATGTGTGAAAGGCAAACTCTGGGTACACTCCGTATCCAATTCTCCAGATTTTACCCGTAGGTCCTGTCTGAAAACGGCTTAACTGAGGAGCTGTTGCTTCTAAAAGACTTCAGCGCGCACAAAATAAAAACATCTTATTTTAGCATCCAAAGCAAGTTCCTACCTCAATCACATGAAAAGGAGCTGTAACATTAGCAGGCTGCGAACATGCTGTCAGCCTCATACCCGTACAATAACGTAACCTGAATTATGAACAAAGTAAGTCTGATTCCTTCTATGATTAGCCATGATGCATTCATCCAA